CATTATTGCTTGAAGAGAAATTTACAAGTTTGCCTCTTTAATTTTGTTTGGGGAAGATAGCTTATTTACATATGTGAACATAGGGGGGTTGACTTGCCTTTTTTTTTCCATCTTGTATGCAATGCTTACATCTTCTCGTAATACATATAACTAAAATTTAATTCAAGATTACTCAGTGCCACAGAACATTATACATATAAAGCATCTTTCACATTTATTGGTCTATCTGTGCAAGAATGGTGCCATGACAGTATAATATAGACTATATATAATAATGTAAAAACATAGATAAATTTGTATATTATATGAAAACCTACCAGGAATTTCTCAGATAGTTCACACTGATACAGGAACCCTACTGTGTCCTGTGAGAGAAAAGAAATACATGGAACTTTGTGAATAACTCATTCAAACAAACAATTATTTTCAAATTTACTTAAAACAAAACATATTCTCTACAAATACACATGACTACAACTATGTGCATAATCAAGTGACAGAAACAGGAAACAGTGTTTCTTGTAACTTATGGCTTGACTGTATAGCTGACCATATGAAAAATATCAGCCTAACTAAACTGAAAGATAACATTGTAAATTGTAGAAGTATATAGCTTTATTCATTTGAAATAAATTTACTTCTGAATACACATATCAAGAATAAATTCCACTAATAAATTAAACCACTGCATTAATTTTTGAGGTAAATTTTAGGGAGAGGAATTCATCATTTAACATTGGAACCTGAAGAATGTTAATTGTCAAGCATTATATTAAGGTAATAATTGAGTATTCTTATACATTTGATTCATCAAGAAAGTGACTCGTATGGAATTTTACAGGGTTTTCACTAGGGTCCCAGACTGTCAACTTTTTTTCAAGAGTCCCAGTCAGATTTTCAAGGGTCTCATAGGTAAAATTTAATAAAAACACACACAAAAATTAAAAGAAAAAAGCACTTCAGTGTCAATGAAAAACTTTAATTACAATGTAAACTACACGTTTACCTTCTGCAAGTGGTAAAGGGCATGTTAATTATTCAACAAAAAACTTTATTTACAAATTACACTTCATGTTGTTTCCCTTTATGATTTTTCTATCAGTTTTAAAGAAGTTAAGTGCACTTTCGTGCTCAATGAAAAACTGTTATTTATAATGTACACTACATGTTGTTTACCCTCAGCAAGTGGTAAAAATTGTTATTTATAATGTACACTACATGTTGTTTACTCCCAGCAAGTGGCAAAAACTGTTATTTATAATGTGCACTACATGTTGTTTACCCCCAGCAAGTGGTAAAAACTGTTATTTACAATGTACACTAGATGTTGTTTACCCTCAGCAAGTGGTAAAAACTGTTATTTATAATGTACACTACATGTTGTTTACCCTCAGCAAGTGGTAAGAACTGTTATTTATAATGTACACTACATGTTGTTCACCCCAGCAAGTGGTAAGAACTGTTATTTATAATGTACACTACATGTTGTTTACCCTCAGCAAGTGGTAAAAACTGTTATTTATAATGTACACTACATGTTGTTTACCCTCAGCAAGTGGTAAAAACTGTTATTTATAATGTACACTACATGTTGCTTACCCTCAGCAAGTGGTAAAGTAGGACAATATGCAAGAGGACAAAATGAACATATTTTACAATAAACATGAAAATATCTTCTTCTGTTTTTGAGGTATCATTATTTAAATGTGACTACTTGATTCCTTGTTTTCCTTTGTGATTTGTTTTGGTCCAATTAACATGTTGTTTATAAACAAATTATTGTAAGAACCATGTCTACCTAACATTCACAGCATATAAATTGCAAATCACATGGGGAATGTGCAGCTCACATTACAGTATCAAATTACATAATGCACAGACTACTCACATGCATACCTCATAACAAAAATTATAATTATTATTTATTTATTTTATCTAACCTAAAAAGTTTTCAAATTTTACATTTTAGTCACTTTTATAATAATAAATAAGGAATACACATGAAAAACAAGAAACGAAGTACTTACCTAAGACTTCTTTTTTTTTTTTTCGTACTGTTGATGAAACTTAACCCTACTTTTTTTATACTAATGGTACTACTACTGCATTAACTAATTTTTATTTTATTAAATAATACACCAAGGAACACAGAATAATAACATGCAAAAAGGAAACAATATTCCATAAGTATCACAATTTTTCTGGCTTTCTAACTGTGTGCCAAAAGCTGTTACAAATTCAGCTAAGCTTGTCTATGTGTCTTCCGTGGGTATAAAGTTGAAACTGGAGGGAAAATAGACAATTCTCTGTACAGAAAACAATTTAATAAAATAAGTCATTTGATAGAGAAAAGCCTTGGCTTTCTATTGGTTACAAATAATATAGTTTTAAATTTCAGAGAGAACAATTGGAAAGTTTTGAAAGAGAGGATGTGACAGGTGGGTGTGGTAACAAGTGTCTGATTTTCTATTTTATTGCTCTGTAACTAAATAAGATTGAAGGCTATATAAATTATGCTTTGCCTGAACAATGACAATATTATAATGAGTAATTTATGCTAAATTATGTACTTTTTGGAGGGGTGGTAAAACGATTAGAGAAGAGGGAAGACATAACAAATGTCACAGTTTTCATACTAGGGAAGATTGAGAATTTTAAAAAAATATTTCCTTAAAAAATTAAGAATCTAAAACTTAAATAATACTAATCTTTGATTAATTATCTATGTTCTGATGCCAAGTTTATTCATATACACTGATAATCAGGTAGTTTAATTAAATTTTGAATGTAACTCTGTGAAAGGTTGTAACATGTGCACTTTGACCTACCTGAGGTGAATGGGTTAATCGTGATACTTTCATGTGGCTTTATTTTCATGCAATTTATTGTCTTGATGAAACCTGTTAGAAGTTGATGGTGGATAGCTGTGTGCAACCTGTATGCTGTTTAGTTCATTATGGTACAAAGTTCGAGGCAAAGTACTTGTGCTTGCCTTGTGTATGGGTTGTTTTGCAGTGCATATTTTGTACCTGGGGGGTCAAATCTTATGGGTCCCAACAAATTCTCATGCGTACTGGATCTGGAAGTTTGGGTTAACTAGAACATGTTTTATTTATACAGTCATAGACAGAATGATTAAAAATTACTAGAACTGTGAAACCTAATTAATGTTAACAATATTTTTATGATGTTTTAGTCAAGATCCACATTCATCAGAGACTCAAAGAATGAAGAAAAAGTTGATCAATATTTTAGTTTCTTTTATCAACAGTTGTGATTTTCAAAAGCTATAACGGCTATCAGTAAAGAAAGTGTAGCACTTTTCAAGTACTAAGCTATAATGTAGTATATTCCTGGTTTGTTAAGGTTATGGAATAATACTTTATGTTACCTAAGACTGTAAAATAATACAATATGAAAAGAGAGTTCATTATACAGTAAATGTATACAGATTTTATTTTGGAATGAAGAAAAATTAGCAACTTTTTAGAGCAATTAAGTTTTTTTGCTACACTTATAGAACCTTTTATTCTTAAATATAAACTTTCTAAAAATTTGGAGCTTTTAATGGTACTTTCCATTAATGTCACAATATTTTACCAGTAGTATTAGTTTGTTTCAGAAAAGGATTTAAAAGACTAATGTTCCTATACTCTGTACACTTTCATATATATATTGAGAAAATTGAGAAACATTGATCCTAAAGTAACCTCACTTTAAAATTATTACTTAAAACTACCATAGTAAAGTCAATAAATTCATTTTAAAATATAAAACTTTTTATGTTTACATATAGCTGACATTAGTAAGATGGGGTCCAATGTGTCCTCGACCACAGCCTAGCTCCACTGCAACTGGAAACTGCCTGTAAACATTACAGATCATTGTGAGATAATAAAGAATAGACTTGAAAACATGTTCTTTAATAAAACAAGAAAGAAAAAACACCTTGAAACAGTTTCAGCAAAAAACAACAATAGAGAACACAAAATTATTTAAAAACAATAATTGATATTTAGTATCCTGTACAATATAAAACAGCATTATGAAATCAGATACCCAAATATAAAACTGAACTTGCAATCACAAATATTTTAGTGCCAATGTAAACTGGCCTAGCTAGATGTATTTAAATTACCTTGAACATTTTACAAGTATTTCTTACCAAATGTATATGCTGTTGTAATTACTGGTAAAATACCGACCAGTGTATAGATTCTTTATGGTGTTTCTTCACATTATAAACTGGAAAATGTACAAAATGTAAATTTCTTTCTTTTTTTTCACCTGAATTTTGTTGTTGAATTAAATATATATATTCTTTTCAAATGATGAAGACTGAATTAAAGGTGCATAAAGCCAAATAAATGTGCAGTATGATTAAATTTAACTTTTAATGCACAGTTATGTAGTAAGAAACTTTCCAGTACAATGTATCTTATATTTTACAAATGTTCCCTACTTCTCTAATTTTTTTCACTTTTTCAACTGCCTTTGAGCAAAATATTTAACTCAGGTGTATCATGTTATTTTTAAAATACAATGATGTTTTAATTAGTGATTCTTGTTTACAAAAACAATTATAAATATACAAATTTGACATCATTCAGCCCATTAGGATAAATATGATTTCAAAACATACACAAGAAAGATCCTTATTTATTTATCCATTATTATATCTGCAAACTGTTAACCATTAGAAACTCAAAAAGATAATTATATTACAAAACAATAAATAAAAACATCCTAAACTCACCTCTTAATATCATATACCCTGTCTGCCACTCGATATCCTACCTAAGTAAGAATAAGTAGTAGTCTTTTTTCAGTTGTGTACGTGTGTATAAATATTTCACTTTATTGCATAAAACAGATAAAACTTACAAAAATGGTCTCCTTGTTTGGCTTATACTATATCTGACAGATGTTTATCAAAAAAATGCTTGACTCTGAAGTACTGAACTAGATATCTTTTTTTAGGATAACTTATCTCAATCAAATTATTATTATTTTGAAAATTCCAAGGGAATTAAAAAAGATAACAAATGTTATATTTTACAGTTTTAATGCATTTAATTTTTCACTATAAAAACACACAAAACAATCTTTAAAAAAGTGATAAATGTTGCTATGTTACTATTTTCTTAAGATAAAACAGGGAATTTCCTACCTCATCTTTTAAATAATCATACAAGTGTACATCCTTTGCCATTGCAGCCCGATTTCTCTGTAAACGTTTGGCATTTCGATCAAACACATTCATGACAGATTCTGTGGTACCAGAAACTAGAAACCTACTTGGCTGTAGATACAACTCGTATCTCATGTTTATTACCTGCTTTAATACAGTACCACATTTTTTGCAGTAAGGTAGTGTTAGTATACTCCACTTTAATCCATATGAACATTTCCATGGTAACCATGTATCATAAGATCTATAAGGAAGTCTAATGATGTGTTCTTTTGGGGATAGGGATACAGAGAGTTGGTAACAGTTCCTGAAAATATATCGAAATTTTTGCAGTACAATCATGGACATAGTTTTTCATGAATTTTCAAATTATTTACAGGACAGCTTTCAAATGATTGTGGCAGGTTTATCTCAGTAGTAGAGTTCCAATCTTCTAGAAAACATGAAACTTCTCAGTGTTATAAAAAATTCCAAGCAATGTATTTCCTGGTGCATTACAATCCTAACAATAGAAAAAATAAAACCCAGTTAGTTTTATCTATAGTATATATATAATTCCTAAAATTTACAAGACATATGTGAAAAAAGAAGAGGCTAATTAACCAATAAAATCACTCATTTACCTACAATAATACAAAGTGGAAAATGATTCAAGTTAAAATTTTCAACTCTATTGTTTTCAGAAATAAAATAAGCTACCTTGATGTAGATTACCTACATCCCTCATCATTCTAAACATCTGAATAGAATCAATTTCTTGATCTTCTAGGTGTGTCCCTAAGTAATATCATAACATATGATCTGAAATTGAAAGATTAATTTACAATCACTTTTCACTTACGTAGAACAAGCAAAATTTCTATTCAGTATTTAATGTAAACTAAGCAGCCATACATCAATAAGGCCCAACGTTGGATGTAAACAATTTTTAAGTTTCAATAGTGTGCTTTGTACTGTTGTAACTTGTAGTATATTTGAACTTTACTTGTGCTAGCCTAAAATTTACTGTTATTTAGTATTAGCCTTTAGCTCTTAGATCCGCTTTACCTTTAATCAGACACAAAAATAAATAAAAAAAGACATTTACATGAAAAGGATACACTTGTGCAAATTATTATTACTCTGGCTAGACATTTAATGATTTATGCTGTTGATTTGCAAACTTAGTGCAATTATCATAATTTATCACAGCATCAATTCGTCACCTGATAATAATTAAAAAAAAGATATTAACTTTTCAGTCTAAATGCAGATATAAGATCCGCAATTTAGGTTATATGTCATTAGCACATAAAATAATAATATTAAATCAGTAAATGTACGACACAATGCGACTGTGAGTATGAACCAACGTGATATACACACGTTTAAAATCCAATTAGTTCATGTTCTCTCCGTTCGTAGCACAGAATATCAAAAGAAGCAGTACAGCATTCCGGCAGAGTAATAGTCCAATATAGTTAAAACAAGTGTTTTTGTCGTTAACCAAAAATGCGCCCCTACATAATAGTAATAAATCTAAACAAGAAATTGGTTTCAGGCAAAGTCCAATTATCTTCATAACATACTATTACCAGATTCCAACTTGTCTAAGACAGAATTTAAGGTTTGCGGCTCCACCTACAATTGCAAATACAACAAGATTAAATGCAGTAAATGTACAGAACGTCTACAATTTTTTTATATAGTATTATTATGAACTTACTTTAGTAATGTATCGATCGTTAAAAATAAAATGGATGTTATACTACTATAGTGAAAATCGAGAGCATATAAAAATGGAAATGAATAATCTTAAAGTTGCTGTTTGTACACTCACAACGGTAAATGAGTTAGGCCTACCCCTTGATACCCTTCATCGCAACCTTTCTCACTATTAGTTCTAACTATTTTTGTTTTATTCTTTTCGAGAAGATATCCGCATGATGCTGCATCTACTGGAAGAAGTTGGCAGTCAGACAGAGAGAGAAAAACGTGCCCCAAGCAGCCAAGCTGATGTGATTTTCCACCATGTAATGTTTTGTAATATAAAATTATGATAAAAAATGTTATATATACTATTTATTTTCATTGCTTTGAATTGAGTTAAGCAACAGATGTAGAAACATGTATGAGAATGTAAAAACAAAATGTGTATTTATAGTGATTATGGAAGTGTCTGTAATTATCTGTCCCCCATTTTTGAGGGCACACGGGTTTTTTGAATTCCTGCAGCTGTCGTCGTCGTAACCTTTGTAGGGCCCCCAGTGGAACAGCAGTATGTCTGCGGACTTATAACGCTAGAATCCGGGTTTCGATACCCGTGGTGAGCAGAACAC